GTTTTTTTTATTCTGATATTCATCCTGTGGGTGTTTCTGTTGCAGAGCTCTGAAGAAAATATTTCAAGTCAGGTAAGTTATTTCAAGGGTTTTATGTTCTGCATGACTAAAGAATCAAATTTGAAAGACAAAGAACAACCAAATCAACTAATCTCACTTTGTCTTGTGAATGTTACACTTGTTTATATTGTTATATTGTTTTCTCTTCTCAGAGTCAGAGTTCAGAGTCACAATCATTAGAATCCACGTCGGAGGACACGGTGGGTTGAATTTTTTCTAAACGTAATATCCATTAGGAGGCATTGCTTTGCAAATGTAACACATTCAGCATGTTATTACCAAGTTCATATGTTTCAAATGTATTGGTGCACACTCACAATAAATATGAAATGAATGGTTATAAAGTAGAATAGACTAAAGAAAAAGTAATGTTTTGGTGAACCTACACGCTAACAAATGTAAAGCATAATTATCGTATAATTTACCAAGATGATGTGTTTATTTTCCACAAACAGACTTCAGAGGAGAGCAACAGTCTGTCAGAGGAGGATGATGAGGTAAGATCAGACAAATCAAGTCTTTTGTTGAACCTAAAATCTAAATCGCCAACTGTTCATATATGACACAGCATCCTTCTGGTCTGCGTTAAGCTCATTTTATTAAATCTGTTTCCACAGACGGACTCTCTGGCAGAAACCAGGGATGACAGCATGGGCAGTGAGGAGAACGTTCGAAAGGTGGGATATAGGCTCACTCAGTTTTACACTTTGTGCTTCTTTGGCAGAGATGACAGTTTTGTGACACTTTCCTTCACTTGTGTTTGCATCAGAGCTGGGTCCGAGTGTTCGCAAGTGTGATCAAAATACTGAGTGGAGAGGACAACAGCAGCAGCACAGAAGCCAAGGGTCCATCCATCGACCACACTGAGAAGCAGCCCACTCACACGTCCACTGGCACCACTTTCAAACAGAGGACCAACATGGCTCAGGGTCACACAGACCTACAGACTACCACAGACAGCAGTGACACAACCAGCGACAGCACAGACTCCAGCAATGACACCGGGGAAACAGCTGCCACCAGTGACAGCAGCGAGAGCAACAGCAGAGAAAGCAATGAGACCGACGAGACCAGTGAGGACAGCGACAGCAGTGAGGCCAGCAAAAGTTCAGAAGAGAGTAATGCCAGTGACAGCAACGAGCTGAAACAACTCAGAGACTGTGTGAATGGGACACAGAGCTGCGAAAGTGAAGAGTATTTCTTCCAGGACATCGGAGACGATGCCCATTACTCAGTGGACAATCTGATGGTTCCAGATGACAATGAAAGGGAGTTCATTTTAAGGAGATGATGACATGCACTTGCGCAGTCATTTCCAACTATGAACTACAACACCATCAAATGAAGACTTCAGAATGACATATTTGCTCATACCCATCGCTTCTGAATGTTTTATTTTCCCATATAATGTTACCTGCAGCTGATTGATTATTTTTATTATTATAGTTATTATTATTATTGTGGGGATGATTTTATTGCCTAAGCATTTACCTTGTTTTAAAGTATTAATAAACTAATAACCGTTGTTTTGGGTGCTTGCATGCTTTAAGCTTTAAGTTATTTAGACATGTAGTGGAAAAACTAATATCCCAACATTTAGACCTGCTCAGGTTTATAGTTGTAGTTAGCTATTTATTTTGAATTGCTGTACCTTACAGAAGACAATTGGTCTTTTTAAAATATTCATACATTTAATAAATAAGTAGCACTTTGCTGACTATGATTTGAAATGCAAAAATCCCAAGACTGTATTTTGATTAGCTATAAATATTACCTACCAATGTATAGGATAAAGCAGTTCAAATAAACTCAGCTGTAAGGCAAATCCAGCAATTTAACATAAAGTATAGTAGACCTATGAAGGCTAATATACTCTATGTTTCATGAGCTTTATAATTGTTTAGCGCATTTATGTTTATAAAAAGCAGCAAAAGTGAATGCTATAAATGTGTACACTTTTACTGATAGTTCTGATATTTTCTTCCACCACATGGATTATTACAACAATAAAAAAAGCAATTGATTCACAAGTTTATCACCTATGACGTTGATGATAATGATATTGATGATGATAATAAAAAATGTTGTTGATGTTGCAATCTCCATGATGATGATGATAACATTGATGTGGAAGTTATTTGTGCTGTTGTTGTTGATGGTGATAAGCAATGATTATTAAAATAAGAAGGAAAAACTATTTGCATAGCTACCCTTTGCATTGTCTCTGTGCGATGCCTGTCAGCACCTGTCCGATTGAACTTGAAGCTGCACCACAGACTTTAAATAATAACCCTGTTGTATACAGTATCTCCTCCTGTTTAGATCCTAGATGGACTTCTCTTCTGGACAATAAACGCCTTCAAAAGTACCTTCAATTAAATTGTGACATTGTAACACATGAGAATAGTTAGTCGCTATAGTAACTTAGAGAGACTTATTTTGTTGAGCTCATAAATTATTGAGTAAATATTCGTAAAAACTACTAACAGTAAAATTGTGTTATAAAATCACGACGTAAACATGGCCGGTTAGCTCAGTTGGTTAGAGCGTGGTGCTAATAACGCCAAGGTCGCGGGTTCGATCCCCGTACGGGCCACACTACCTTTTTTTTTTTTTTAATATTATTATTATAATATAATATTATATATATAATTTAAACAATTGCACTTTAAAATATGAATGATGTTCTTGGTTTGGCACAATCTTTACGTGTCAAAATTATTGTATTCATAGAACCCCGTTTGTTTATGTGGCCTGGTTCTGTCAAAAAAAAAGGCACTAGATGGCGACAGAGTCCATCTACTCCAGATAAAGCCTGAGCATTTACAAATACAGTGTGTATCATCTAATCAGTACACTAAAGGAGGAAGTTGTCCAATTCTAACCAGTATTAAATAACTAAATTGGGGGTTAAAAAAATACTGTGGACAAAGGATAAACAAAAGTGAGTTGTCAGCCACAGTAACTGTGTGTATGGGCTATGACTGTACTATGGCTAACCTCTGCACTCCTTTATTATTTTTAGACACATTTCAGTTCTGTGTTGTACTATTAAAGAGTGCATTGGGGGAAATAATCCAGTATTCAGTTCAGTGGACAAATATTTATTACAACACATTCAAACATGTAGGAAAATAGAAAGAAAACAGAAGCAGTATCCCTCAATACAAACTAAGGAAGGAAAAAAAGCCTACAAATGAAATCCAAAATATAATGCAAGCATCTTTATAATAACTCTTTTCAAACCTACTGATAAAGGAAGTCTAACAAACAAAAATAAGAATTAACAGGCAAAATGTATGCCCAACAAACTACAGTCCAATGACTGAACCAGTAAACATATGCTGCATTATCATCTCTTTGAGTTGGATGTCCTAGCTGGGGAAGTGAGACTTCAGGTGTTCCTTCAGAGCTGGTATAGTGGGAAGCTCTTTTCGGCACATGTGACAGCGGAGAGGTAGTTTCAGCAACTCAGTGGTTCCTTCTTTGACGGCAACCCTTCCATCTGTTTCAAGCATCTGAATCACATCTGCAGATTAAAGACACATGAAGGCTGTCAGTACAAATGTGCTGTGACTAATATGATGAACAACTTGCACTTTACTTGCTCTCACCATGTGACTCAATAAAATAGTCAGTTGTGAAAGAGTTCCAGTGTTTTTTATTCTTTAAACACGGAGAGTCAAAGTCTTGGCTGATCACGTGGAGATGAACATGACTGTAAAAGAGAACATAACTTTTTTTTTTTTTGTGGTCAAATATTCCAAGAAGAAAGTCTAGATGGCTCAACACTAGGGAGGAAAATCAAATCTCAGAGATTTAACGATTCTGGTAACAAGACAAATTTCACAAGTGTTTGACAAAAACAGCCTGAGTTTGAGATAATAAATAATCAATATGCTAAAATATATATGTATCAAAATTACAACAGCCCTAATACGGCCCAGTAGTAAAGTGTAAGCTAAAAAGCTGCAACATACTACCAAATTTAGGATCATTAAATTTTTTCTTATGAATTTGCCTCTTAAGCTTCAGTATTTGGCTACTACTGTGTAAGACAGAGGTAATTACAGATGTAATGATGTAAAAACACATCTCATACACACTGACAACTTATAGTGATGTATATACTTGTTTAAAATAAAGAGTAAACCATCAGAACAAAACATTTCATTGAATGAACATAGTGGACTGTTGAGTTTACATTTTCTAAAACATAAAATTAAAGTCAGAAAAAGCTATACTGCCCTCAAATCTGACGCCAATATCCAGACTATGATTTCTACCTCATACTGGGGATGGCATGGTACCTTTACGAAAGCGTAGTGAGCTTTTATGTGGACACTGCTGAACCATCTGCTCAGCAACTGTTGCATGTGTTTTCAACAGGTCAGTGTGTTCCCCACTTAACACCTTCAGACTGGAAATGGACTGCCATGGCAGGGACCAGCCAATGGTAGCGAGCTTTGGGGTATTTATCTTTGATTACCACTACTTTATCATCCTTGTACACCTGGAAAAAGGGAACATTTGATTCAGTCATTGTCAGTCAGACTTCCAAGTTGTAGTGCTGTCTCAAACACAGCAGCATCAACTGTTGTGGGTTTTTTTTAATTGTTTGTTTGTTTATTAAAAATAGCTACCTGCATCTTTGGGTCCTGCATTGATGTCTTCAGACCTTGGCTCCAATGTCCAAAACTTTCCTGTGAGGTTGTAATTTTTTTTTGTTGATAATGTAACTCGGTCAAATGAACATTTGTAGAAAATCAATTCAGAGAAAAAAAACAAATAAACATACTATATGCATTTTTAAAAACATGCACCTGCTCTCTTTCATCTCTTACACTGCTTTTTGTGGCTTCTTCCTTTTGGAGGGGCACAGATTGCTTTTCTGTTTGTTTAGCTACTTTTGGACTCGGAGTCTCTCTGTCACACTTTTTGTCCTCTGAAGGCTCTCGTGGTCTTCTGGAGCGGCCATGATCCCCAGTAGCATCCTCCCTGAACTGAACAGTGTATGGGAAGAGCTGATTGACAATATGAAGCTGCTGTCCAGGCCTCATTTTGACCTCATTGCCTTTACCAACCACCGCAGAGTCTATGGACGTGGGGTTCAAGCCCAACTGTGGAGTAAAGAAGGGGGGGGAAGGGATGAAGAAGAGTGGAAAACTAGCAGTAGGGCTGTAAGCGATCATAGTAACAGGCCAGATTACAGTTATTAAATTAGGTTTAGCCGAACAATTGCTTCATTGTTTCACTCTGATAAAATCAATGTTTCTCTTACCTGTTTAACTTTGACATATCCTTTGTTGCATTCTGCTTTCACTTCAACTAGTTGAAAGGGGACAACAGTGGCACAATCTTGAATTGGTTTTAATTACTTTTAGAAGATGTTTTTGATGTGAATATAGAAAAATAAAAATAAATACATGGACATATATAAAACAAACACATGAGCAATATATTAAAAAACTACATTTTCTTATCTTACTGCAATTGAATATTGAATCCCTGCACTCATGTTCACTTCATTTGGCTGTCTACTCGCCGTTATTATTGTATAGTTTCTGCTTATTACATGTCTACACTCATGCACTTTAACTTATGTCAATACTGTCCATTCACAACTCTGTTTTTGCACATTTACATTTAATCTTTCATATTTAATTTACAACCATTTACATTTAATCTTTCATATTTAATTTACAACCATTTACGACTCTGTTTTTGCACATTTACATTTAATCTTTCATATTTAATTTACAACCATTTACGGCTCTGTTTTTGCACATTTACATTCACTCTTTCATATTTAATTTACAACCATTTACGACTCTGTTTTTGCACATTTACATTTAATCTTTCATATTTAATTTACAACCATTTACATTCACTCTTTCATATTTAATTTACAACCATTTACGGCTCTGTTTTTGCACATTTACATTTAATCTTTCATATTTAATTTACAACCATTTACGGCTCTGTTTTTGCACATTTACATTTAATCTTTCATATTTAATTTACAACCATTTACATTCACTCTTTCATATTTAATTTACAACCATTTACGGCTCTGTTTTTGCACATTTAAATTTAATCTTTCATATTTAATTTACAACCATTTACATTCACTCTTTCATGTTTAATTTACAACCATTTACATTTAATCTTTCATATTTAATTTACAACCATTTACGACTCTGTTTTTGCACATTTACATTTAATCTTCCTATTTAAGACTAGTAATGCTTAGTAAAATCCTGGTTGTATATATTCACATTCATTCTTATTTTAGATATCTTTTAGTACTCATTTACTTTGTATTTAATATTATATTGTGTTTAGATTTGCTAACATTGTGTTTTTTACTCATATTGTGTGTTTGTACAACCTGCTGCTGTAACGCCACAATTTCCCAGTTTGGGATCAATAAAGTAATTCTATTTTAATACTTGATTTGAAGATAACATCGGCTTTAATCTCATCATGTCTCACAGGGAATATTGATCCACTTGAGAGTTTCTCATTGCAAAGGCTGCACATGTATCAAATAGAAATCTGTATTACCTTGATGCCTGGAGCACTTTTTGTCTTTAATTGTCGTTTCTGGACCTCGACCCAGAATAACTGCCTGAAGATGAGGCAGTCTAATGGGTTTATGATTGCCCTCGTCGCTGATAAGCCAGCAAATGGGCATTTTATCATCGCATGTAGCTTTTTAAAATCAAAGATTAGAGCCCACGTTTGTTTTGGTGTGTGTGGTCGTGTCGCAGGAAGGTGACGTCACTGCATCGTGAGAAGGTTCTGGAAGAGGCTCGGTGTGAAGAAGAAGTGAGGTGCGCTCCGAAATACTGAGGATTCACAACAGCGTCCTTCACACAAGGTTGGAAAAGTCATCATTTTTACTCTCTGTAGTGTGTTGATGCAAAAAATGTCTTGTGAAATGAATTTTAAACAAATGTTAGTGTTGACATGAGAAACAGTTCAACATCGTGTTAGCATTAGCTACCAGAG